CTCTCTCTCTCTCTCTTTCTCTCTCTCTCTCTCTCTTTCTGTACTTTTCCTTTTTTTTTCCTTTTCCTCGTTTTTCAAGGATAGTTTGCGCTTTTTGCAGAAGTATTGGTTTCGCTTTGTAGTTTTTGTATTTTTTGCAAGATGAGAATTTTAACCACGCGTTCCCCCCCTCCCCACACCTTAATAATGCCCGCGCAGGGAGAATATCGACTGACGAGCCGGACTCTCCTCCAGGAGGGGAATGCCTGCGAACAGAAGGGAGAATCTTGTATAAAAGTTGTTTACAACTTCCTTTAAATCTGTGTTGGATTTGTCGAGTATCGATGACTTCGTTACACTGTCAGACTGATCGAACAAATTGAAACAAAGTGAAAGCTCTGTAATTGGCAGCTCTTCGTTGAAATTAAACTGAATTAAATTGAACTACGTACATAAATATGATTCTCCTCTTAGCGATTATGCAACGATCGTGCAGCAGATTTTGTACATTCGATGATCAACTCGATCAACGTAAGTAACTTTAAAGGGGGTAAATCTATAGTATTATTACATCGTTAAATTCTCAGGCACAAAATATGTATATTTTAACTTAACGCAGAATAATCAGAATATAAAAGTCCGAGTAACTGAAAGACTGTTTATTCTCTCGAGTAGAAATTTAGAAAGTTTCAAAGCTGTAAATCATTTTAGAATATCTTTCTGCATTATATATATGTGCAATATATGCATATATATACAAATGACATATATTCAATATATGAACAATATACAATATATATATATATATATATACACGTGACATATATATACAATGATCTTTATATCGTTTCTGTTCAACGATTCTTACGTGACGGATCTCAGAGTGCCATAGCAGAGTTTCCTCCGCCAGCATCCCCTAGGTTACCGGAAGCGCTCTTCTCTATCGACGCGAGTCCGGCACCGACCGTGCCCTTGAATCTCATCTTGGCGTCGTCTCCGACGACCACGGTCCTCTGACAAAAGATCAACGTCAGACAACTGACGACGAACAACACGCTGGGCAACACCAACGCGATCAGGAACTCCTTGTACGTGCTCTCGAGGTTGAACCGCGAGACAACGACACCGGTGTTACCTTCGGCGTAGTAACAGGGGAACCTGGCGCGTGCGTTGTGATCGGAGCCGTCTTTCCCGTATAGGTGGAGGAATTCCTTACACTCCTCGCGCAGAGTATTGACGCAGCCCTCGAGGTTAATCAACAGACGACTTTCGTTCGCTATGATGAGATCCTGCTCAGGCGGGGCGACCGTTCTTGTCTCGTCCAACGGCTTCGTCGCGAATATATTCAGATAGGACAGATAAGTGAAGTTGGTCAAGTCGGTGAGAAGGTCCTTCTCCAAGACGGAGCCGTTGATGCAGTCGACAGCCTCGACGCCTAGCGTCGAGTTGAATATCCCGTAGCAGGACGCCATCATGATGTCGCCGCGATCCTCGTGCCAGATCTCTCGATTCGACTCCACGTCTATCGCTCGCTCGCACTGGCTCAGGTAGACCTTGTCTCCGCTCAGCAGTATCATGTTCTTGTTCCTGGTCGGGATGTCGACGCATCTGCGGTCGCAGTTGTACGGCGTTCTGATACGCTCGCAGGTGCCCCGGTTGCAATTGAACAGACCGTCTATGTCTATGCAGGTTATCTTGCCGCGTCTGCCGGAGCACTTCAATGGCGGATCCGTGTCGTGGAATATGCACTCGAACGCGTCCGTGATGTTGATGCACACGCCGGACGTGCAGTTGAACGTGCCGGTCAGGTTACGGCACTCGTCCGCGATGCATTTCGATTTCTTCGCGTTCTCCTGATCGATACCGTAGCAAGTCTTGTTGGTCGTGTTGGTGCAGTTGGCCAGTAGGATCGCCGAGCCGTTTCTACGAAGGTTCACGTGAATCTGCACGCACGGACCGGACGTTTTCGACAGGCACCACTCCCCGCAGCTACCCCATTCACAGTTGTCGGCGTTGACCGCGCGTATCGTCGTGCACATCACCGGCACCTCGCTGATCCCCGATTTAAACGCTCTGGTGCTAGGCATGTAGATCGCCACAGTCAGGTAGACTAGAGCCACGGAGGACAACACCGCCGTCATCTGGCAGATGCAAATGGTCCCGCAGATCCGACCGTCCTGCGGCGGGATCACCAGGTTCTCCTCTGGGACTTGCTTCGGCATCCTGCCGTCTCTGTCGAGCTCGATTCGCTCAGTTGCGCACCAAGTGAGGAACAACGATATATATTCCCAAAAGTTTACATCCTACGTCGGCCTGGTTACATCCAGACTACCAACACTGCGTTCGTAGAGTCACTTTAAATCATTCTCGCAGCATCCTTGAGATTGAGCATCCGCGAGATCTTCCTTATTTCTCCGATCAAATTATTATTATCGAGATGTGCACGGTCGAAGACATCGGCGTATCGTCAGAATTTATAGGTTGCGACTGTACGTACCAACGACGATCCGTTCCATTATGGAAACGTTTATTATAGCTCCCAAGTTTGTCCAAGAATTACTCGTTTTCTTTTTGGTTTTCCGCTCCGCCGATTTGGTCCCGTTGAAGAAGATATATTATCGCAAAGTGTATATCACCGATATACAACGATATTTCCGAAAGATCTCGGTGAGATTTGAGATCTAGCTTAGAGGCTGGCTTCCATCTCGTCGAGGATATCCACGTCAGAGTTTCTCGCGACCGTGTTCTGTCACCGTGTTCTTTTTGCAGCAGGACGAGGCTAGTCGCGCGCGTGTTCTGCTTTTCGCGTTCGCTTTGCGCCTCGTGTGAGGTGCGCGGCTCGAACGGTGTCGCGCATCGATCGATGACTCGCACATGCGCCTCCTCGAACTGCAACGACGCTGTATACTGCCGCATTTGACGTCATTGATGTACCATCGTGCCATCAGGAGCCATTCTCTGTTGCAGGATAATCGTCCAGAGATGGCGGGATCCG